AATAATGTGACAACAAAATTATATGATATTTGTACACCATAAATCTATCTTTTTAAGTTATTGCAAATTTGCAATAAAATTTGTTAGCCGTAAGTTGACTTTTTCACTTTGTGGTGCCTTTAATAGTTTAATACTTTTAATTAATTTATTTGTCCGAATCCTATTTGTGATTGTGATTGTGATTGTGATTGGATCTATTTTACACGATTTATGGGGGTGTTAACGTGGGCTTATTGCAAAATTCATAAAGAATTGGAGAAGAAATTATTTTTATTTATCTTGTAATTAACTGTAATGCTTTGTCCGAATTTTTTTAATCCTATTTTGTAAGAGCACGACATGTTAATGCAATTTTATGTTAAAGATATGCATATATGGAAAGGGTATAACGTATAAGGTATGTCAATCAACTCATGTGAGGTAACTCTCATAAAAATGCAATATTTCTATATTTTAAAAATAAGATGAAATGTTTACTGTCTCCTTAATAAAAAATCTTCAATAAATAAAATATTATAATAAAAAATTCTATGGAGCCATCGGATAGTTTTCTTATAGAGCCATCCACCTATTGACACATGTCCTAAGTGTATTTATTATAGGACACGTGTCAATACACTATTGGTGAGTAAGTGTAGATAGCTCCATAAGTCGAGGCATTCGATGGCTCCATAGCAAAACTGTGGACATTCAATTGTTACGACTTCGTTCGAGTTAAAAAAATGTCGACACTAAAATCTTCCGATGAAATAAAATTGCTCTTGAAATTCTAGTTGGGGTTTGGTAGTCCAACATCTCCTTTTTCAGTTAAAGAAACTAACTTTTTGTTGTAACATGCGATATCTATTGAAATTAATTTTCCTGTCAATTATTTCAAACCTTAGAAATCATCGAAATCCAACATTGATTCAAATATAAAGCCAATTTGAACGAAACATTTCCATTATGATTGTTCTTGAAAAGTTTCCAATTGAAGTAACAACATTGAAATATCTACTTAGATCCAGAAATATATTATCGTTTGAATTTGATGATTTTGTAGCATTGGTTAATATAATTTTAAATTATGAACAGTCCAATACCATTTCATTAATGANAATTGTTTTGCCAGTTGATACAGAAGAACAAGAAGCATCTTTGTCAAACACTCCAATATATCATCATGAGCTCTATTCATGGCCATTGAAAATTATATGCACGAGTAAAAAGTACTCTCGACCATCAAAATCAGAAAACGACAATTTCTTTAACCTAAAGTTCCCCATCATTTGAAAAACTTATTTAAATTGTCTAAAGTTAATTCGAGAATTCGAAGCTACTGTTCTTATTCTTGAACTAGTGCAACTCAATAATAGTGGAGTTGTGTACAATGAGTCAATAAGACGTAACAAGACACCCTAAAAGTGTTAGACGTTGGCTAGGATGAGCAAAACCGTACCGAAATCGAAAAATCGAGTCAAATCGTGTAATTCGGTGCAACTCGGTTTATTTTTGTTATGTGAAAAAAAATTGGATTGGTTTTTTCCTACATCGTGGTGCGGTTATAATATTTTATAAATTTGGTTTTTAGTTTTGTTCGGTTCGTTGTGGTTTTACACTGAACCGCACCAAATTAAATAAAAAATATAGAAAAATCGTGATAGAATCGAAAATGAGACGAACCATGCATTTCGGTGAGGTTCTTTTAGTTTTTATTCTAGCTTTGATTTTCAGTTTTTTACGGTTTGATGCATTTTTTATTGAACTACACTGTTGCTCAACACTAACAATGGCTGATATGATATGAAATACAAATACGAAACAATTAAAAAGTACAATACAGAGACACATAACACGATTGACACAACATCCTAAAAATACGAAATAAAAGTTCGGTTAAATAGATTCACTATCAATTTTATAATCAAATAATATAAATAACACGAAAACACGATAATGAAATGCCAACACAATACGGAAATGTATTGCTTTTAAGTATAGTAAAATAAAATGTCCAAAGCGATTTTGTGCTTTCATGCCAAATGAATAGACTAAAACCGATTTTTTTACCCCAACAGCAAAAATCCAAGTTAACTGGACAAGAACAAAATAAAATAAAAAGCTGTGAAAAAACATCAAAAGCACGTATAATGAGAATACGTTTGTCATGTAATTTACATTAAAAAACGTATTCTCAGAATACGTTTTTCAAAAAAAATTTATAAAAAATAGTATTATGAGAATACGGGCTTTTGATTTTGGTCCAGTTAGACTTAATGACTGCTAAACAACAATGACCACAGTTTTTTAAAAAAATTACGTTTGTTTTTTATTATCTAAACACTCAAAATTTTATTTTCAGATAAATCTAGACTAAGTTTTGCAAGAAAAAATTGTTAACCATAAGTTGACTTCTTCAATTAGTTTAATGTCGGAAATTCCTTTGCGATGGGATCTATTTACACGATTTTTGGGATGTCAACGTGACCTATTCTCACAGTTTCTTTATATTTACACTCTTATGTGCTGCTTAAAAAAATATATGTAAATGAAAAAATGTAAGATATGCATGTTAACTCATGTGAGCAAGAATTAAGTATATATATTTATAGTTGCACTAACTATTACGTTCACTTACTTTTATCACAAATATAAATATTATTATTAAAAAATCATATTGTAAAAATTAACATAACCAGAAAATACGACATTTAATAGTACAAGTATGAATTTTTACTCACATAGTATTCTAGGTAGACTCAGTTAACGCTTAATTGTTCGATTGTCCCGCACAAGAATCTGTGTATAATAATATACATTGCAATACTTCAGTAGTAAGAGGAATTATTTAAAGAGAAATCGATTCAACCTTTTTTATCAGATATATGGATAATGGTGTGTGATCCAACGATAAAAAATCATTTATCAATAGAAAAATTATTCTTGAATGCTCTTATTGCAATTTTAAATTCCTTGTCAATAGGGCCACAGATTTGAACAGTCCCACAAACATTTCATTATTTTCATATGGTCAAACCAAGCTTTGATGCCAACTGATTTACTGATATGGCTAATCAATAGGCAATAGCCATATTATGAATCAAGAATGTGCATTTTAATGCATTTATGTGGCTTTTATTGGATGTTACACTCTTCATAGTTTTGTGTACTTTTTTTTCCTCTTGTTTGTTAGCAGTAATTGATTATGAAGATCCAACATGTGAGTAAGTGGGTTAGGAAAATATATATTTTAATCTCATAATTTTTGGAGATGTGAGAAAGTATTCTAACTAAAATTTAAGCAATCACATAACTAATTTTGTCTAATTTGAAGATGAACTTGACCGTTGAATATTGTTTCTTTTTTTGATCGTTAGACAGTTGAGTATTGTTGATTCCAATTTTGGTCGGAATTTCAACAGAAGGTTGATAGAATTGGCTTTCTTGCTTGAGTGTTTTTTAGAATTATGATTCCGTGTGAACTAATTAGGATTGCTTAATGCTTTGTCCATGTAATCAACCACCAAAATATTGTTAGAATTTTAGATGTCGTTTGTTTTGCGTGGGAACCAATAATTTATTTTTTCTTTTTTTTTTCTTTGGAAATATTGGGAAATCGATGCTAACTAGTATGCGATCTTGGACACGTGCACAAATACAAATAATTTTTTATATATTATATATGTGTGTGTGAAATATTAAAAATTATAATTTAAATAATGAGCATATCACAATTTATAGTTTATCAGTATTAAAAATGAACGATATAAATTAAATCTTTGAGCATATCACTAATTTATTGATGTTGTATTTTGTATGTAATAAAATATTATTGTATATTTCTTTTATACATTTTTATAACATAAAAGAAAAATGCAAAAGTGAAAAAACTGAATTTTTATTAAATTAAATCGGTCCAATTAAATTTGCTAATATATGATTTTAAACTAAGAATTAAAAATAAAATAAAATATAGTTAAGTGTGTGACAAAAACACAAATGACCAAAATTATGTAATGTAATTTAAAAAATTACGTTACATATAAAAGTTAAATTAAAGTAAAACATATTCTATATTATATATTTTTCATCATATTAACATTATTTATCCACTTTTATAATTATAACGGCCAATATTTTAATAAAAAAATCACTATTTTTATATTACATCACCCCAAATAATTATAATATTTTATTTCCAATTTCATATCTATATCATTTTTTAAAAAAAAAATATTTTTTTTTCCACTTTAATCTCAATTTGTTGGATGAGACAAAATTTTGGAAAAATCTCATATTCAATTGCCTTGCTAGTTAATTTTTGTGGATTGATCAATCTAAAGCTGTTAAATAAAACGAGTCGCTTGCGAGTTGGATTAAATTAGATTTTTTACGAGTTGAGCTTGATAAAATTCGAAAATATTAATTTTTATGTAGTATTTTCGATCGGCTTGTTAATATTGACAAATCGAGCTAGTTTAGCTCGTTCAAGCCTAACTCGACTCTCGTTTACCATTCCAGTTGAGATTGGGAAAACAAATAAGGGAATGACTACATTCCCACACAAACTCAATCCACACTAAGTGACAAGCTTTGCCACATTACTTTAAAATTCACTCTATTCTATCTCCCTCTAAAATTTATCTAAGTTCTAGCAAGTGCCAAAAACAAATGGCAGAGCTTGAAAACAAAACTGAAGACGATGTTGTAATGACATAGGATGATTTCAACAGCACCACTAAGGAAAGCAAAGGGGAAAAACATATTCGGATGGACGAGCTTCAACGTACTCATACCCACTCGAGCTCCATAAGTTTGGTTCTAAGATTTTAGACTTTCTTTCATAACAACAATTAAGTTTTTCGACTGAGATGGGTAAAGTTTGGTATTAATTATAAATTTTGTTTACTTTTGGTACAAACCATTTTCAGTGTAGGCTGTGTAGCGATGAAGAAGTGAAAGAGGGTGGAGAAAGAAAAAAGAAGAAGAAGTCGGATAATATCCTTGTCGCCCAGGAACTTATTCACACCATCAAACGAAAAGCAAGAGAGGGGTACGTTTTAATAAAAGTTAGAATAATAAGATTTTCCTTCTTCGCCCCTCTCCTTTCAGTCGAGCCTCTTCGCCCCTGCATTAGACTGGGTTGTTCAAGAATGCATGCCCTATCTGGGTTGTTCAAGAATGCATGCCCTTTAGGTTACTATAGTTCGGACTTAAGCTCGAACTCGTAACTCGTAGCTTCATCATGTGTTAAACATAACATTAGGTTCACCTAGGGTATAAAAGAGACGATCAAGGAAAAAAAATCCGGTGATCACAAAGGAGAAAAGGATGAATATGAAGAGAAAAATGCTGAAGGAGAAACTGAAGAGCACAAGAAAGGTTTCTTAGAGAAAATGAAGGAGAAAATCCCGGACGGCCACCACAAATAGGACTCTGGAGAGCAAAATGAAACTTCATCCACATGCGAAAATCTTACAATGAGGACGTTAAGAAGATCAATTAATTAGCCATAAAAGTCACTTGCCAATCATCCAAGTCTGATTTTTCGAGGAAAGTTGTGTTTTTCCCCTAAGTCATGATCATCAATCATTCAAATGTTAGCATGAGCTAGTTTTAGTTTTCATCGTCTCTGTTTCAATTGCACAGCCATTTTGGTTTGAAAATCCTCACGATGTACATGTATTCATTCGAAGCATCTCACAGCATTCTATAACAATAGGAAAATTTTACAAATGGGATTGATAAAGTTCATGCCATTGGAATAAAACTCTGGATTTTCTCCTTTCCAATGTAAAATAAATACACCATTCCTTACTATAAATGCAGTTTCATCTCATCATACCCTTAGTAGCTTTGTCACTAATAAGATATTGTTACAAAAACAAATTTGTTAAAGTTCATCAATTTCCTGTTAAAACTACATAACATCTCACATAACTTGCAGAAATCAACAAATAAGTAAAGCATGAAATTTTTGCCACCACGTTCAAACAAATTTTATATGAAAATGAAATTCAGCTGGAAAATTCAAACTAACTGAGTAATCAATCCGAGGCCAGAAGATCATCCACTGGTCCCTCTGTAACCGAAATGCAGCTCGTTTTCATGTCGAAACAAAACCAAGTATCGGCCCTCTCGTACGAGAAGTACACGCAGTTTTCCCCCCTTTTGCACCCGAATAAACTCGCCGAGACCCCCAAGCACCACTTGTCCTCCACGAAAAACACGGTATCATCCGGAAGCTTCTCGACTTCCTTCCAACACAGGCTCGACTCGTCCAGCCCAAAAACCTCCACGTCATCCACCACATTCACCGAAGCCCTCGACAGCAAAAACACCAAAAAGATTCCACCTTTGTACTTGAACAAATGCTCCCTAAAGTGCCGGCATGCCTTACTAGGGACAGCTCGGTTTTTTCCCAAACGGGTAATTTCGTAATCCCCCAAACCTTCACTGTACTCGATAACCGCAAGGCTGCCCTGCTGGCTAATGGCGTAGTATTTCTCTCCTCCGAGCCCGATAAAGTTGGTCAACTCCATGTACTGATGATGGGTTGTTGAGAAAGGCTCGATAACCGTGCAGCTCTTCATTATCGACACATAACGCCAGTAATAGCTGAATTTGCCGGCGTTATATTGTTCGACTCCTTTAGGAAATGGGAAAGCGAGTGATGTAAGGCCGGTTATGACGAATTGGAAGCTGCCGGAGCTCTCGGTTCTGAAGTGAACACTGCTATCTCTGGGCAGATTGTAATAGTCCGGGCCCCAGAGAAGGTATCTCTCGCTACAATGCAATGTCACTTGGCGTTGATGGAAAAAACCCTTGAGGCTGTATTTTCCGGTATCGTTAGTCGCTTGAATTTCGGGAGGGATGTCGATTAGGGCAAGCTGCGGCCACGAATGTTTACGCGGCGGCTGATTAAGGTTGCAAGAGGAGGAAGATGGGACAACCCATGACTTGGTGACCACGCCGGATCCCGATTTGTTGACATGTATAATGTCCTGCCGTCTCCAGTCTCTTTCACCGACGGTGATTGGGAAACTAGGCCGTTCGAATTCCTTCTTGAAGTACCGGCGGCGGCCGGCTGCTGCCTTTTTCGGGGATGGATTTTTCTCTTTCTTCATCATCTTCTTGTCCCCCATTTGCCTTGTTCCTGCTCGAAAACAGAGGTCGGATCAAGAAACGAAAATAAGAAAAGGAAAATTTTCGAAATATGAAGGGGTAATTATGATGTACCTTTGTTGGGCTTGATTGTGATGTATCAATAGAGATGGAGGGTTTTAATGGGACTTTTCGCGTGGCCACCAAGCAAAATCCTAGGAGGGACGGAACTATTATTGGCCTTTAACTTGCAGAGTTGCCAAGTGACGTGGACTTCACCAAGGAAGATATATGTGCACTAATTTAATTGTTTTGCAATTTTGACCCTTATGACATTATTGGTATAATGGAATGGAATTTCGTAGAGATTGATTGAATTGAAAAATGGAATGATTATGGGAATAGAACGAAACAAGTTTTATCATTGATGCGTTGGTATACAGAAGGAATAGGACTTGAATTGAATGACATTATCATTTTTTATTATAAAAATAAATAAAAAAAATTTTTAAAAAATAATATACTTTTACTAAATTATATATAAATGCTTTTTTAATAATATATAAAAATAAAATAATAATTTTTTAATAATAAATAAAAATAAAATAATATATTTTTAATAATATATTTTGAATAATATATAAAAATAGAATAATATATTGTTTAATAATATAAAAAATAATATATTTTTAATAATATATAAAAAAAAGTAAGTTTTAAATTTTTTTATTTGAATTTTATTTAATATATTTTAATCATGATTTATAATATATATTATAATTTTATTATTATTTGTTAATTTTATTTTTTGAAATTTGATTCCTACACACATGAGAATGAGAAAACTTTCTATTTTCTATGGAATGACTAATCCCATGGAAATGGGTTTTGCCATTCTCATTGGAATGGTCATTCCTTTCCAAAAGATATATCAATCATGGGATAAGGAATGAGTAAGGGAATGATCATTCCATTCTCATGTCATTCTTTCCTATCAATCATGCCATAGGTTGGTTCCACTTTAATTTTTAAAATTGGGATTTTGACCAAATAGTAAATTTTTTATACTTTTGCCATATAGAGGATAATGGTAGTGAGTTGTTTTGGACTTTTGGTCATAGTCTTGAAACCTAGATGGGTAATTGACCATGCCTGGACTCTGGGTCTCCAGTCAATTACTGAACTGGATAATTAATTTCATAAAATTTTAAATTATATTTAAATTATTTTTATTTTATAATAATACGCAAAATAAACTACTTATATGTAAATTATGTACCCTAAATTCTTAACAATATTGTATTTTATCTCTCACACACATATTCATGTGGATCAATTATAGAGAAATGAAATTGAATGATAATTTTGTCCAAAAAATAATTGGTCAAATCGTTTTTATTTAAATTATTAGTTGCTAATTAAACTAAAATAATTAATTAAAATTGTTGATAGTATGGGTCAATTATAGAAAAAGAGAATTGAATTATTTTTTGTACACAAAATAATTGTCGTTGGTGGGGGCGGTTACTACTTTCTATTTTCTAAACCGTTTTATTTCATAGATTAGTAAATGGTTTTTGGGGATGGTAGTTTTATGAACTCTTTTTTCAGAAAGGATAGTTACATAATAATTGAGTTTGGTTATTTTACCACTAATAACAACTCGAGTTTGAGCCTCAACGAGCCGATCTCGAGTTTTAACTTTTAACGAGTCGAACTACAGAAAATTATATAAAAATTCACTTTTCGAATCTTATCGAGCCGAACTAGTTTTAAATGAGCTCATACTCGTCTAATTTAACAACACTAAGTGGCAAGTTTGTGAAAGGTTTATAAACCCGACTTTCAGAGGTTTATTATTTAAGGGTGGAGGTTTGAGGTTTACAATTGTGAACCAAATTTTCTAATTCAAACCTCCTATAATCCTCTTACAAAAATAGTAGAATGGGAATTGAAGTGCACTGCAAAAATTCCAATGCAGATATATGTAGTGCGTGTATCTAAACTCACCAAATCAAATTTAAAATTAATTTTATATCAAATTCAAATCAAATTTAAAATAAAGCATCATCAGCATTCTAAAACAATAGGAAAATTTTACAAATGGGATTGTTCATGCCATTGGAATAAAACTATGGATTTTCTCCTTTCCAATGTAAATAAATACACCATCACTTCAAATTAAGTTTTTCGTTCCTTACGATAAATGCAGTTAATCTCATCTTACCCCTAGTGGCTTTGTTACTAATAAGATATTGTTACAAAAACAAATTTGTTAAAGCATATACAGAGAGTTCATCAATTTCCAGTTGAAAATACTAATAAACATATCACATACTTCAGAAATCAACAAAAAAGGTAAAGCATGAAACTTTTTGCCACCACTTCTCAAACAAACATTATATGAAAATTCAGCTGAAAAAATTTCAAACTAACTGATTAATCAAGATCGTCCACGGGTCCATCAGTAGCCGAAATGCGGCTCGTTTTCATGTCGAAACAAAACCAAGTATCGGCCCTCTCGTACGTGAAGTACACGCAGTTTTCCCCCCTTTTGCACCCGAATATACTCGCCGAGACCCCCAAGCAACACTTGTCCTCCGCGAAAAACACGGCATCATCCGGAAGCTTCTCGACTTTCTTCCAACACAGACTCGACTCATCCAGCCCCAAAACCTCCACGTAATCCACCACATTCACCGAAGTCCTCGACAGCAAAAACACCAAAAAGATTCCACCTTTGTACTCCGAACAAATGCTCCCTAAAGTGCTGGCATGCCTTATTAGGGACAGCTCGATTTTTCCCCAAACGGGTAATTTCGTAATCCCCCGAACCATCCCTATCCTCGATAACCGCGAGGCTGCCCTGCCGGCTAATGGCGTAGAATTGCCCTCGGTGGCCGGTAAGGTTTGTGAACTCCATGTATTGATGGTCGGTTGTTGAGAAAGGCTCGATAACCGTGCAGTTCTTCATTTTCAACACATAGCCCCTGCAATATTCGATGACTTCTTTTGGGAATGAGAAAGCCGGTTTAGTAAGGCCGGTTATGACGAAGGCGAATCGGGAGACCTCGGAGCTCCCAGTGCGTCTGAAGTGTACAGTGCTGTCCCTGCGCAGACGGTATTCCGGGCCCCAGCGAAGGAATTCATCGATAGAATACAATGTCGATTGGCGTTGATGGAAAAACCCCTTGAGGCTGTATTTATCGGGAACGTCGGTTGTTCGAATTTCGGGAGGGATGTCGATTAGGACAAGCTGAGGCCACGAATGCTTACGCTGCGGCTGATTAAGGTTGCAAGAGGAGGAAGATTGGACTACCCATGACTTGGTGACCACGCCCGATCCCGATTTGTTGACACGTATAACCTCCCGCCGTCGCCTGTCTTTTTCACGGACGGTGATTGGGAGGATCGGATGTTCGGATTCCGGCTTGACGTCCCGGGCCGCCGGCGGACGTCTTTTTTGGGGGTGATTTTCTCTTTCTTCTTCATCTTCTTGTCCCCCATTTGCCTTGTTCCAAAACAGAGGTCGGATCAGGAAACGAAAATAAGAAAAGGAAATTTTTTTCGAGATATGAAGGGTTGCTGAAGGAAATATGATGTACCTTTGTTGTGCTTGATTGTGATGTACCAATAGGAATGGAGGGTTTTAATTGGGATTTTTCGCGTGGCCATCAAGCACAGAATCCTTTGTGGGACGAACTTTCCTTGGCCTTTTTTTTTATACAGAACTTTTCTTGGCCTTTATCTTACAGAGTTGGGCGAGTGATGACTTGGTCACCAAGGAAGATATGTGTGCAGTCATTAATGGTTCGGTTTTACAAATTTTTTATATAATGGTTTTACAATTTTGACCTTATTCATATAATTATAACAGTCAATAATTAATAAAAAAAATTCATTATTTTATATTACATCACCCCAAATAACTATAATATTTTATTTTATTGTTGTATTGGCAATTTAATTGAACACAATAGCACATGCTATCTATATAGTCGACCCATTTAGTTGTATTTTAACAATTTGTTGATTGATTAATTGATTCTATTTGCAGTTTCAAACCTATATCGGTTTTATATATATATATATATATATAGGATGTGGTTCAAATGAGAACCAAGTCCTAGTGTGAGAACCGAGAACCGCTATTTTTAATTGTATGTAGTGCTATGATTAATTGTGTTTTAGTGCTATTTTTAACTAGGATGTATTTGATTAAAAATAGCAACAAAATTTTTATTAGCATTTATGAAAATGATAGCCCCATATAATATTAAAAATAACATCATACACAATTAAAAATAGCATCAAATATGGTTCTCACGGTTCTTACACCAGACATAGGTTTTATTTGAACCAGCCCCTATATATATATATATATATATATATATATATATATATTTCACTTTTCCGTCTCACTTTTTTGGGTGAGACAAGTTTCTTTGGAAATGTTTCATATTCAATTGTCTTGCTAGTTGATTGATCAATCTAAATCTAAAATTGTTAAACAAAATGATTGGTTTATGAGTTTAGTTAGATTAGATTTTTAAGACTTAGAACTTGATAAGACTCAAAAATATAATTTTTATGCAGTATTTTCGAACTCGGTAATATTGAAGGAGGAGCTTCATTACTAAGTACTAACAAAAGAGTATTGAATTGCGAGCAAAATAAATACTCAACAACCCGACCCGATAAACAGAAGAATTGGGAAACACAACTCACAAAACACGCAAGACGATTACACACACGCTGACGCATGTTTTTGCTTAGCAGCAATCACAAATCGCGAGGACAATGAGCAAGCTCAACGCATCCAGCTCCGAGTTGGATTTGGATCGACCCAACATCGAAGACTATCTTCCTTCTGGATCCATTCAAGAGCCCCACGGCAAGCTCCGCCTGTAAATTTCACCCTCTCTCTCTCGATCTATCCGTCTGCGTGTGAAGGGGTCGTTGTACCGTTTGTTTGCGTTTGCGGTTGAGTAATTTCATTTTTGTTCGTTTATTTGTTTATGTAGGCGTGATTTGCTCGATATATCTCCGACTCTAACAGAGGCGGCTGGTGCCATTGTTGATGTGAGCTCCTCGTTGATCTTTCTTTTTGTTATGTTGTGGGTTTTTAAAGGTTAGTTTGGAGATGTAGGGTTGTTTGTCAGTGTAATAGCGATAATCGGAAGGGCACTTCAGTAGATAGAGCAATTTCTCGATTTCTCGGGTGTTACTGTAGAACTGTTTCTCTAGCTGATCTACGGCTTGAGTGGAGATTTTGAAGTTATAAATTTGAAGCACACATGTTTGATGACAGTGATTAGTTTTGTAAGTAATGGATATGATGCGCTGTTATTGTGTTTACTTTGACATGCCCATTACCCTTTTATGTTGTATTTGTGTGGTGCTTTACCTTTTTTCTGGTGTACTAACTGTTATTCCTGCCAGTGGCTGGCCCGGATCAGTATTCTTGCCCTTAAGAAACATAACCGACGAGTTTTATTCTTGCTGCATGGCAGGACTCTTTCACAAGATGCTTCAAGTCTAATCCTCCAGAGCCATGGAACTGGAACATATACTTATTTCCTTTGTGGTGCTTGGGAGTTGTTGTCAGATATGGATTTCTTTTCCCATTGAGGTGAGTTTTTTTCACATCATATTTCTTCTGCCTAATTCAGAGAGAGGGGAGTGAAATGGGAAGACTATTCTTCCTCCAAGAATCGACTCCTCTCATGCCTTTCGTGCCTGTTGGTCATTTTGAATGCAGGGTGGCTGTGTTGACACTAGGGTGGATTGTATTTCTCTCGTGCTATTTTCCTGTGCATTTCCTGTTGAAAGGGCATGATAAATTGAGGAAAAAGTTAGAGGTATGATTGATTAAATTTTTGTATCAATCTGTTTTTTTTATTACTTTTCGCTACACTTTCTTCATGTAGAGTATGGTGCATGCTTATTATTTGTAAACATCAGAATTGTGTTCCTCTTTTTTGCGAGCAGTTGTCTTATGACTTGGAGAAAGAGTCAGGTTCCGATTCCAGTATGAATCGAAGATATATAATAATGGAATTTCTTCGGGGTAGTAATAGAATTTCTTGAGGTGTGGAGTTGAAGAAAAGGCGAAAAACAATAATTATACGGATAATTACTAATATTTTTTTATAATTACGATAGTTGTGTCTTATAAGTCAGAGATTAGCCGCCTTCTTTAACTATCTTTTGCTGTTTATTTCCTTTTCAGAGAGGTCTAGTGGAGTTGATTTGCAGCTTTTTTGTTGCATCGTGGACTGGGGTTGTCAAGTACCATGGTCCACGTCCAAGCATCCGGCCTAAGCAGGTGGGATTGTGTAGTGGTTGAAATCATTTTCTTTTCTTTTTTATCGTTTTTTTTTTCTTATCCTAATGCTCTCTGCAGGTTTTTGTGGCTAATCACACATCCATGATTGATTTCATTGTTTTGGAACAAATGACCGCGTTTGCAGTGATCATGCAGAAGCATCCTGGGTGGGTTGGTAAGTTTCGTTTAATCATTCATGGAGACTGAGGCCGTCGAAGCATTTCTTTATTTCTTTTTCCCAATATTTGAGGCACAACAAATGTTGGATTATGCTTCTCTGTGGTCTTATTCCCTTTTATAATAAATATTTCTAGGCATGTTTATGTGTGGTGAGTTGGATTATGCATCATTGTACAGGAATTTAAGCAACTGAATGTTTGGTTTGAGTTGCTGAATTTTATACGATTGAGTTTGATTTTAACCAAAAGAAATCCTCTGTTGATTAGATTGGAGATGTTTTAGTGGTCTTGCTTCTTGGGTTGTAGTGGAAAATTTGGGGGGAGGTTGATGATTACAATTTTATTCAATGCGTTTGATCTGGTTGGGTGGTAGTGGAAAATTTAGGAGTTTGATGACTACAATCTTATTCCACGCGTTTCAGCTGGGATGGTGTCATTTGAGTTGTTTCTCTTGTATTTGGTTTTGCTAATGCTATAATGCTATATCCTCTCAGGACTATTGCAGAGCACTATTTTGGAAAGTCTAGGGTGCATATGGTTCAATCGATCAGAGTCTAAGGATCGTGAAATTGTTGCAAGAAAGTATGTTATTTTTGGATCATAATCCAAGGCTCTATCAATATATTTCAAATTGTAAATTTTGGTATATGTATTTGTTGGTTTGCAGGCTAAGGGAACATGTCCATGGGGCTGATAATAATCCTCTTCTTATATTTCCTGAAGGAACTTGTGTGAATAACCACTACACTGTGATGTTTAAGAAGGTGCCTCTCGTTCACTTGCGATTGCACAGTTTATTATATGAATTTTAGCAATATTGGCATCTTATAAGCAATGGTAATTTAACCACGCATTTGATTATTGTATCATAACTCCTGCTGGCATCGAACATATCTGATTATCTTTATGGATATTACCAAGTAAAAGTTGAAAGTTTTTTTTTTCCCGTGCCGTCTGTGCTCCCAAGTTTTAATCGCCATGTCAATGCCTAACTATGTTATAAGTTTCTTTTTCTGACAATTCTTAGGGTGCATTTGAACTTGGCTGCACGGTGTGTCCAATCGCAATCAAGTATAACAAGATCTTTGTCGATGCCTTTTGGAACAGCCGAAAGTAAGTTATGTCATGTTGCCGTTCCTTATACCAATTAACTTGCAGTTGTATTACTAATTATATCTATTTGGCTACTCTGATGTGTTATGTGAGGTCGGTTTCACAAGCTCTCTGTGGGAAATGCTGTTAATTTTTGTTCCTCCTTTAAAACCTATTAAATGCATTCATAAGCCTTGGTTTGCAGGCAGTCCTTTACAACACACTTATTGCAGCTTATGACATCATGGGCTGTTGTTTGTGATGTGTGGTACCTGGAGCCTCAGAACCTTAAACCTGGTGAAACACCAATTGAATTTGCTGAGAGGTGAGTATCATTGCCTCAATTCATTACTTTATAGTGTTTTTGAACCAATGTACACTAAACAAACAACCATTTGTAATTTTGTACTGAATGTGAGACGTTTTCTTCCAGGGTGAGGGACATTATTTCTGTACGAGCAGGTCTTAAGAAGGTACCATGGGATGGATATTTGAAGTACTCTCGTCCAAGTCCAAAGCATCGTGAGCGCAAGTATGCTTTTTACACAAGTGATATATCTTGTGTTTGCCATTATGATTGCTGTTCGATTGCATGAAGATTTGTTACTTTTTCAACGAGAAATGCTAGATTCTCAATTTTGTGGTCCTTGAATCAATTGATACACTCAACTTATAAGATCACACTGCATTTTCATAATTTTTAGTTAAAAAGTCATCTCATGCCAATAATTGTACAACTGAATACGAAACCTTTCAAATTTATCTCTCTGCTATATCTATGTGCAGGCAACAATGCTTTGCAGAATCAGTCCTCCGCCGCCTTGAAGAGAGATAGATTTGGCTATACTATGGGTTTTAGATAAGAGAGATCATTTAGCTGTTTTTGAGCTAGCATTTCAATTTGTGAATTTGGATTTTGAAATTCTGTACAATTGCTCAGGATGGTGACCTCTTAGTGCCTCGTTGAAGAAATTGCTCTATGAAGGCTCAAGATTGATGGATATGCTCTCACTTTACAAGGGCCTCCCATGGCTTTCCTATTTTCCTTTTTTAATATTTTGGTACTCCGTTTTTGTATCTTGAATTTGACGCTTGATGGTTAAACCTTTTATTAGTCGAACACGATTCATTGAATCTTTGTAATAATAAGTTCTAATGGATAAAAAGCGTATGCTCAAGAAACAAAGTTACATTTCTTCACAATTCAGCATTGATACGAACATACTTGATAGTTGATACCATTTGTATTTAACTTCAATCCCTCTACCAAAATGAAACCATATGGCTATACGCTCGTGTTGCCTGACATTTTAAATACAAAGTAAGAGATATGTTATTGGGAATTATAGATAGTTAAAAATATATTGAGAATGATTGATTGGAAATTGATATCATTTAATTATATTGATAGAAAATAAAAAATAAGTTGGATTAAAGTTGAGTTAAATTTTAAAATAAAATGTGTGAATATTTTATTAGACCAGTCAAAATTAGTTATATTCTATAACCAATCGCGCCCCAAATGATGCTAACATGCAAAGGGACGAGGGATGCTGATAATAGGTTATTTGGTCTAAATCCCAAATGATGCTAACATGTGAAGGGACGATGGATGCTAATAAAAGGTTATTTGGTCTTAATCACAGAGATCAAAATCGAGATGATCCTGAAAGTAGTCAACAAAATGTCATTCACGTCATTGAGAAATTACAGGTCACAAGCACACATCAAACTTGTGCAGTTCAATGCAATAAATAGTGGCAGTAGCTATTCAGAAACTGTACAGAACCTCAATGAATTAAAATAGAACTTCATAAATTGGAAATCCAATAGCATATTCTGAGAAGCTTAGTTCTCATTGTTCCGTGTCATAATAGGACTCGAAATCATTATTTTTGACTCTGAATATTGCCCAAGGGGCAGGCACAAAAATTGGATATGTAAATTGTAAAGCAAACTTGAAAATAAAATAAAAAATATCATTACAAGAGTGACATTTGAACACTTGCCCAGCCACTAAATGAAATAGTCCATCAGGTAAAGCAGAAAACTCAGCCGAGATTAGCTATGACAGCATCCACAACTTCTTGGGTGGTACTGTCTCCACCGAGATCCTTTGTCCGGTATTTACCTTCGGCTATAACACGCTTCACAGCAGTTTCTAGTCGATCAGCAAATGAAGGAAACTGCAAGTGTCTTAGCATCATAGCCGAAGAAAGGAGAAGAGCTACTGGATTTGCCTTCTTTTGCTCCAGCAATTTCTCATTCCCTACATTACCAGCAGAAGCACCTTGCTCGAAAATTGCATGATCTGCCCCAACATTCCCTGAACCATCAAAACAAGGCAATATTATTTACAAAGTCCCGAAGAAAATTATCCCTGTCCAATTTACATCTAAATGAATTTGTATTATAAGCTAAATAGCCTCAACAATTGATGATCTATATTATATGCTAAACTATTGCTTTTTAATTGGTAAAATGAAATGAACAGGATAAGAAATAAATAGGATTTTAACTTTTATGGGATCTATCAGTCAAAATCCCGATTAACAGCTAATCCCAAAATTGAGCATCATATGATCTATAATTAGTTTCTTTTCAGTCTTGTATCTCTCAACTCAGGAGCACCAATTTAAACCGACATCTTACTATGTAAATGGCATCTCCACTTAAGATTAGGATGGGTGCAATCTTTGAATTTCAAATGGGATAAAAGTTATTGAAACCATTCATCATACATACCCCCAGGCATGACTCCAGTACCCCCAGCAATGCCAGCAGCTGTATTTGCAACTAGATTCCCATATAGATTAGGAGTCACCTGCAAAAATTAAATTCTCATTGATAAGCTGTATGCAAAAAAGCAGTAAAAAGATTGAGTTATGAACACACCCTAATTGGACCATGGAAAAGAGAACCAACAAAAGACAAGAAAGAAGACACGATTTAACCCAGAGATTTAGCCTTCTTATTCAACAACGAAACCAAGGTAAAAGGTAATGATTTACAGAGATACGCCAGCCTTCTTTTGATTTTCTGATCAACTTTGTTTTTTAAGTAACAACAAAGTAAAAGAGAATGATTTTATTCAGAAAGCAAACAAATCATCAAGCTGAGAGCTCTAATACTAATGGCCTTGATAAGTCTGCACTTGCAGGGTTTGGCCATCAGAAGATTTCAACCATAAGGTTCAACAGAGAAACTAAAGGTAAAAGGTGGAATGATTTGCAGGCCAACCTAGTAAATTCACTTCAACCTTGTTATGAACTAACAGGGATCCCAGTGAGACAATGACATACGCTTACTATTCAGATATAAACAATGAATACAATGATAAAGCTGGCTGGATCAGAAAAACAAATGAACTATGAAAACTTTGTATGCTTGTGCTCCTGTATCGATTTACAACAGCTTCAGGAAATGGCCCTTTAATGAACAAAAGAACTATTGATTGCCTAATCGAAATAATTATAAATATAGATAAAACTAGCAAACTATTGCAATAGACTGCCTCACACTAGTCGCATCTCACTAAAATTTGTCTCTTCAGACATGCCATCTCAAATTTAACAACATACGATTTTCAGCCATAAATAGGATCCAAACTTTCCTAATTTTGTGAGATAAAAAACTGCCTGAAACTTCTAGCACATTACTAAACTAAAACAGACGAAGAAGAGAAACAACAGAGTATGATGTCATCAAGCAACTAGGAACAGTCAACCACATGAACTGAAATTCCTGATCAATTTAGCTACTTACCATAACATCGAATTGCTCTGGTTTAGAAACAAGTTGCATGGAACAGTTATCCACAATCATCTCATTGTACTGGATACTGGGGTACTTGCTGGCAACTTCACGACAGGACTCCAAAAATAAACCATCTGCAAGCTTCATAATATTTGCTTTATGCACGGCAGTGACTTTCTTCCGGTTGTTGAGATAGGCATACTCGAAGGCATACTTTGCAATTCGTTCAGAACAGAACTTTGTTATGACCTATCAGGTGGGCCATATTAGAAACAGAGTTGCAGAAAAATTCTAGGATATTATGAGTGTGCATATATGGAAAGAAATCTGAGTCAGCAGAGAAATAAACACAATAGTATCTGTTGGTTAACAAAAGAGAATTAGACTTCAATAGCATGAAAAGTCTACAATGACAAACTACGAAAACTGCATCATAATTATTCTAATATAGGATAGCAAGACTGTAGGTAGGACAGAACCATGAGATTAAATGTGAAATGCATAAAGCCTTCCATGGTCACTAATCGCATGACCAGCAGCAGATCTAAGGAACAAATTCTATCATGCACACCCATTGCTTCAAGAGTTCATAAACTACATATCTTAGTTCAGTCCCTTCCCGTCTCCAATCACACAAGCTTAACCTTAACCAAATAACTGAAAAGGCTAATTCATAACTCATTCCCATCGTCATTCATGTTTCACTTTTCATGTGGTATATGATCTACAAAACTACAATACACAATTTTAGGTCGTCAATCCTAATCTAATATACCCTTTGAACTTATCAACTATGAGATGGCTCACTGGAAAACTAACATAGAACACAGTCAGATGACAATTTGGATTCATCAATTTGCAAGATGTGAAAAGGAAACAGAGATTCAAATTCTACAATATAACATAGCTAGATATGAAAATCAAAAGAAATCCCAAATACCTTCAGGCTTTCAACAACTCCAGGAACAACCTCGTGCTCGAGTCCTGAGTATTCTCCCTCAGTGTTCTCCCGAATCACGACAATATCCACGTTATCGTGCCGAGTGGGAAGCCCCTGCAGATTAAAACAGTGCACGAGGGACGCGTAAAGATCAAGCTCCCTCCTCAACAACACATTCAGCGAGCTCACCCCACCACCAACAGGCGTTTTCAGACCTCCCTTGAGACAAACCTTGTTCTTCTTAATCGATTCGATCACCTCCGGAGGCACGCTCTTCATATCACCGTGGACGTCGTATTTCTCGAAGTACACCGGCGCGTGCATCGCCTCCATCACCTGCTCCACCGCACCGGTGACGAGCGGTCCCACGCCGTCTCCGGGAATCAGGGTAACGGGGCGGGGGTTTCCGTCGCCTGGTCGGGGCATGTACGTCACGGATCGAGACGAGGTCGCGGATCGGCCGCCAGAGAGGACCTGCTTGAGGATCGGAATTGTTCTCCTCGACATTTTCGCTCGCGATAATATCGGGAAGGCGTCTGAGGATTGTGAATTTCGGATGTCAAATTAGGGTTAGATTACTCAGCCGTGATTGGGGGCGATGGCGGTAGAGTTTCATGAAGAGGAGGAAGAAAAGGAGGGCGGGGGTCAGAAGGAAAGAGAAAATTATTGGGGGAGTATTATTTTTTTTGCTTCGATGCCCTTGTACTTTTGTATAATTTTGTTTTTAAACCCTATTGATGAACTTAAATTTTATATCTTAGTATTTTTTATCAAAAAACTACCCAATGAGTTACTTGATCAGCAATTAATCACACACTAACCAACTAAAACAAAAAACTATTACTAAATCATAATTAACAAATAAAAGAAAATAGAGAAAAAAAATGCAAATTTGTGCTTACGAGGATAGAACTTCAATAACTGATAAACACCCACATTACATAACTACCCCCAAAATCTCTCTCTCCCTTTCTCAAAATCGGACAAACAACGCAAAATAACTGCCGCCCCTCACTACATAAACCAATCCCACTTCCCATTATTACATTTTTTCCGGTCCCAATTCCCCTCAAAAAAACGTGTCCAAAAAAAAAAGAAAGCAAAAACCATGGACAAAACCGCCGCCGCCGCCGATTTCCGCCCCCCAATGCCGCCGCCGCCGTTCTCCCCCGGCGAGCCCAGCCGTCCCAGAAAGAGGAAGCGCACCAAATTCCCCAGAAACCCCGACCCGAACCCACCCAAACCCTCCCGGAAACCCGACCCGTCCGCCCCCAAGATCACCCGCCCCTGCTCCGAGTGCGGCCGCAAGTTCTGGTCCTGGAAGGCCCTCTTCGGCCACATGCGCTGCCACCCCGAGCGCCGCTGGCGGGGCATCGACCCCCCGCCGTGTCTCCGCCGCCCCGAAACCCCCTCCGCCGCCTCCACTGCCGGCGGCGGAAACTCCTCCTCCAAGGAGGAGGATGATGAGGAGGAGGACAATGAGATCGCCGCGTGCCTCCTGATGCTGGCCGGAGCGCCCCCCGCCACCGACCGGAACTCGCCGGTGCACTATTCCGACGACCTTGGGCCGCCAGCGGCGGCCTTCGAGTGCTCGTGTTGCAAGAAGGTTTTCAGTTCCCACCAGGCGCTTGGGGGCCACCGTGCAACCCACAAGAACGTCAAGGGCTGCTTTGCAAATACCAAGAATAGCATAATCGACGGTCAGGATTTCATCGAGGGCTGCTGCTCGGTAGACAATCAAATCCTTAACGGGCACAAATGCAATATCTGTTTTAGGGTTTTCTCGAGCGGGCAGGCTTTGGGAGGGCACATGAGGTGCCATTGGGAGAAGATTGATGAACCAGTTTGTAGGGTTTTTGGGTTCGATTTGAATTTGGCTGCTCCGATTCATGATGATGATGATGATGAAGTTTGTTATTCGGGCCGGGCTTTGGATCTGAGGTTAGGGCTTTGAAGGAACTTTTCGGGTTTGATCATATATAGTATATAGACCATAAATATATAGATATATAGTGTGAATCTGTGATAATTAGTCATTGTAATTTTTCTTCTCTTTTTTTTNGTTTGTTATATGTCTGTAGATTGTGTGAAGTGTCTGTATTTTGATGAAAATGCTGTATAGCTCCCAAAAATTTGGGAACTGACTGAAAACTTTGATTGCACTGTATGTGTTTAGATTGAGATTGATGAGTATAATATTTTGATTGACTGTTGTTAATTACAAGATTTTATGTCAATGGTTTTAAGGTTTCACGAGTTTTAGTGATGGCTAACTAGGTATCTTTTCTAGTATTTCTGGATATGATGCTATTCAGGAATTGCAAATTATAGAAAATGCATAATTTTTTGCTACAGTTTTTGTATAATATGAGGTAGTAAATATATATGTTCACCTTGTTGTGTTTGGGTGAAGTTTATTTGATCCACATTAGACTTAAATTGTGATTGCATTTCATGTATTGTAAACATGATATAAATTTTTAGAATTATGTAGAAATTAGGAACTCTGCTAAATGTAACATTAATCCTAAGACAACATTAATAGTGTTGTGTAGTTTATTTGTAATGGCATAAATTGAGCTGTTGGACAATACATTTACATATGAACCTATGGAGATATGTGCATTTTATTAAATCATATTTGGTGTACCAATTTGCATTGCAATTTGATTATATGCCAATGACTAGCTAGCAAGCATTTACTTAATAATTTGGCATGCGATCGAGTTACTGTTACACCACATCATGAGTACATTATTAGCTAATACAAATTCTTGTAATAGACTGAGTAACTGACTGGATGAATAAAAATGCATATTTATAATCTAAAATTTCATACTTTTATTTATTTTATTTTTAGATTATAACAATTCAGTATGATTCTCTAAAGTTTGACTTAAGGCAGGTGAATAGTGTGTATAAATAGAGATGCGTGAACCAAAGTTCATATAGACATAACGAACGAGACGGGTTGAGAAATTGCAAGATTCGAGCCCAAATCTGCACTGGCCCGCAGATTACCCAATCTAGTAAATACAATGTACGACTCATATACTCAATTGGGTTTAAAGTAGTGTAGTGATTGGATACAATAATTCTTTAACTGAATCAACATACTAAAATATGCAAACAAAACTATAGATACAAAGATGGCATAATTCACAGTTTATGTGTGGCTTTGTGTTGAAAAATCTAACGAGCAGACGACTAAATCTAGCATTTGTGGTACTTTTTATTTTTATATGCGTCTCTACTTTAATTTCGTAAGTTTGGACTCGTATATAAATCTACAGCAAACGAAATGACTTCTTAGATGGTTAATTTGTCATAAAACTAATAAAAAATTAGTTTTACCCATTCATGTTAAAACTAGTGTGTAGCCCGTGCGATGTACGGGAACAATATTAAATTAATAATATTATAAATAGACCTCGAGTTTGAGTCACTCAATAACGGAAGTGTAAACTACTATTGATCCTATTTAAAAAGATGAAGAAAAAAATAATTATAAATTAAAGAGGAGGATAAACAATACTTAATAATTATAAATTAAAGATTCGGGGTCAAACAATGTAAAATTATTTTGTATAAAGAGAATATAAAAAAATTTGATTACACACCATTTCAAAATTATTATTATACTTTTTTGTATGGTTGGCTTATAATATTTGTAATAATATTAGTAATTAGACCGATGAAAATTGGTTTCTTAAAGTAAATAATGAATTTCTAGTAGTAACTATGAATTGGTTTCTATTTTATTTTATTTTTTCAAATCTCTATAGATAAGGGATGAGACGTGAGACTTATGCAATGAGATTTTGTAACAAAAGAGATAAGCTCGTGTAGATTTATACTAAAAATAGGAAAAAGAAAAAATAAATATTTATTGTGAAACAACGATTTTGATAAACTAAAAAACAGGAAAAAAAAGAAATAAATCTTTATACAATTAATGAGCCGATTTTTTTGTCTATTCAGATTTGTCCAACAATTACTATATGTAGAATATATTTAATGATTTTGGAGGGAAAATGTTTCTAAATTTGTAAAAATGTTATTTTTTTTATATAATGATAGATTGGAAGAAGAGGGGTAGGTGAAAGTAATCTATATATATATTAAAGCTAAGCAGCTGAAAATTTCCCTCCAAAACTACATTTAATACATTGTAATAAATTTTATCAACTTTTATGCATGACTTATCAACAAAAAATATTTATTACTACCTCCTTTTTTTTTTATAAATGTCATTTTGGCTTTATCAACCATTGTCTAAATAAATGACGTTTTGGATCTTTTGTACATATTTTTCCATTATTACCCTTATCTAGCTAATAAATACACTACGTCTTTTTATATTCATTCTTTATCTTTTCTCAAAACATCTATCTCTATCCTCATTAATGAGGGTTATTATTGGCAAAAAAAATATTCTTAATTAGTGTGAAACTTCCCAAAACGACATCTATTAAAAAAAGGAGGGAGTACATATAAACATTAATTTGTATTATAATTGTATTGGAATTTGCACTCCAATTTTTCTTGACTAAGTAAATGCTTCAACTACATATATTACCATGAAATAAATTTTGTTAATTTCTATATATTATTTACCATTCAATAAATATTTGTTATAAATAAATACTTACTCATAATCAATTATTATACAAATTCCCATTATATACATTTTTTTCATAATCAATTATTTGTTAATATTTAATGTTATACATAATTATTTGTTATGAATTCTCATCCCAATATTTCACTTATTATTTGTCTCTCTTCCCGTTTGTGAGTATGAGTTCCTTTCCTTATATATTATATTTTTTTATAATAATAAATTATCAATCTTATTTAATTAATCACTAAAATAAAATTCAAAATCAAATATTTTATTTAAAGTCATTTATTATTTTTATTGGAACATCAAACACAATATTATGTTTTCGGTTATATTAGGTATATTTCAAGGTAAAATAGAAAAAATCATAACTAAGATGATATCTATATGTAACATAATAAATAAATATTCTTATAGTTTTCAATTTGGCATCTATATGCATATATATAGATAAATTTTTAGATTTGATATGTCAATTTAAATTCGTCATTGTTTATTTTAACATATACATGTTCATATGTTTTCATAAAAATATTTAATAGTAGCACCATACCATATTTGAAACATATACTCTATATTGATGGAATTTACATACACATTAAGAAAATATGTAACCATCTCTTATTAATCTAATATTATATTATTTTATATCTTTATGTAATTCTAAAAAATTGCAAGTGATCATTAATTTATTTACATTGAGTACCTCATTCCTAAACAAGATTTTTTAATTTAAATTATAAAAAATTTAAACATTCACAGACTCTGATGTAAGCCGAAGTAAGAGTTAGTCAAGTCAACATGTCATTCTTTTTTAACAAAAATGCGAACTTAGACCTCCGAATTTCATACTTTGTTTATTTTATTTTATAATATATTTTTTTATATAATAAATAAAATACAAATTGAGTGAGATAACAAATAATGAAGTTATATTTATCATAAATAACTTAATTTATTGGACTAAAAGAGATGTATTTTTCAAGAAAAAATATCATCTATAACTTTTGGGGATGATCATTCATATCCATATGAAATAGATTTCGAAAATGTTGAATAACCTTTCATAGAATTCGAAAATGACATGAAATTTGATTGTATTTTATAGATAAACAATAGATTAATATTTCATAACTGGTATTGTATAAAGAAAAAGAATCCAGAAATGATAACGTACAAACAAAGAGATATGACCTCATTTCAAAGAGACTACTCATGGATTTGATTGTGAAGACTGAAAAAAATGCATATATATCATTCAATTTTTGAATGAATTTTCAATCATATATTAGCCATTAGGTCGTTTCACGTTATAGTATTTTTTTTATTTTTTTTATTTTTAGTTAGTATAATTTGTTTTGTTTTTTGAAAATCTTGAAGAGTCCACTTAAACACATGAGCATAGAGTTTTTGCCTCCATTAATTTTTTTAGTTGGTCCATAATTATACAGCTATAATTTCTGAAGGCATAACTGGTTAATTTTATTGTTAATGTTTTATTTCTATATTGTATGTTATTATCTTAAGAATAATGATAATGTATCATCTTTATCGAAACATTGCGACATATAAAGTTCCTACAACTACTATAAATGCAACAACTATTTTTTCTTCATCATACATCACATATATTAGTTTTACTTTTTATTTTTTTAGACTTATATATTATTATTAAATATTTTATTATTGATATGTGAAAATAATTTTGTATTTCTAAATAATAAGTTAATTGAAATTATCTTAAATTTCATGCAAAATAAGTTTTAGCTATTGAACTAACATTGACGGTGATCATCTTGATTATTTTTAATATAATATTATAAAAATAAAAAACACAACTTCAAATAATATAATAAAAAATAATTTGATATGTATAGACATAAACTTTTATTTTGTACAATGAGATGAACATTTATTTTCATAGTTTGTATACAACATAAAAATAATTGATTAGTGTTCGAACATAGCATCTAATTTAGTCTCATTTATGGGTAAGCAATATAAGAATATTGCGAAATGATAGTATGCAATGATAAAAAAAAAAAATGGTAACATAAAGAGTGAAAGGTCTCAACGACATTAAGAGAGTTAAAAAAAGTATTTATATAGTTTTGACTCAGAAGACAATATGATCATATTAATTGAATAGATCTGATAATTATTTGTTTTATTTATTTCATTTCAGCTTATGTAAAAGTTGGTGCAAAGTGACAACCCTTAATTTTTTATAATAAATACACAATTATATAGCTAAAACTTTTATAATAAAAGTAACATAATGTGTCAATTATTGTTTAACTTTTGTTTATAAACAAATCTTTTTTTTTATA